TCTGGTCGGAGACTTTCGTCCTCTGGGCCTGAAATGTTCTGCAGCTGCTGGAAGGTCCACTGAGGAACCGAAGGGTCGGGTCAGAGGTCAGAGGTCATGTGATCTTTCTGAGGTTTATTTTTCTTGCTGGGTTATCGTCTGGACGCAGAGAATCTGCTGGATTAGTGTTTGGGCTGATTAGCTGTTAGGAAAGAGGAAGTGAAATATGTTAATTGTTGCATGAAAAGTTTAATAAAAACAAAACATAGTTACATTTTTAAAGTAGGTGAGGCTCAGTGTGGCTTTTTCCAGATAAATAAACTCTTTAATTTCTTTAATGTTGGAAGATCAGCAACTGGCTGAAACATACCTAAAAAAATGGTATGAGCTAAAACTAGCAATCAGAAAGTCACAGTGTAAATGATAAATTATTGCATTCATATAAAGTAAAACGGCCATTTTTAGGCACAATTTCTCCTTGGTTTCTAATTGAAAAATCACCATCAGTTCATTAGCTCTGTGGTTGTTTCTTTTCTGTCCTCAGGTTGCCACATGCTGTCAGTAATCCCTCATCCTGGTGGCTAATTGCAGCTAATTACGTTCACCTGGCATCCTGGTGTCAATTAGAGGCTGGAAGCCAAACCAGCAGCACAGAAAATAAATGTTGTTTCTCCTCAGACCAGCCGGTCAGCGAATACCTTAAAAATAGCCAATCAGTAGGATTTCTCATTAAGTGCAGCTCTGCATTCATGCAGCTTCCAAGGCGAGGCGAGGTCACAGCTGGCAGAGTTCAGGTAATTAGTATTTCCTCCTCTGCAGCTCCTGGATTAAAGGGAACAGTTCGCTCCCGTCCCCGTCCTTGTCCTCCCCGTCTCCGTCATGTGAGACAAATGAGACTCGGCAGTCACGGTTCATTCGTCTCCTCAGGTTGGTAATGTGAATATTCTCCAGTGAGACGAAGGACAGCCGATGCCTTTTTGGGTCAGACGCACGAAAACAGGACAAGAAGAAGAAAAACGTTTTTATTGTGACACATGAACCAAATCTGCAGGTTTATGAAACACTAATTATTATTAATGTGTCTTAATGATCACTTAGTGATCGTGTTTTGCTAAATGGAGGATGTTTTTTTCTGTGAAGACATAGACAGTTTAAACAAATAGGAAAAATAAAATATTATAAAAGTTCCATGAATGGATTTTAGCCACCAACCGTCCATGAAGGAGAGGAGCAGAGAGCACTTGGTCTGGAAGTTGTGTTGGACTTTCTGACCTGCAGGGCGGCGCTGTCAGAGCTGCTGCTCCCTCTCTGAACACCTGACAGGTAAAATGAACCCCAGCTTCATTACATCAGCAGCTCAGTCAGGTGAGGATTTAATAAGTTACTGCTCAGAGAGCAGAGGAGCCACCATGCTTCCAGAACCTGCCCTGGTTCTGCCTGGAGCATCCAGAGAGCCCAGGCTGACCTCTGACCTCTGACAGAAGCCAGCAGGGTTCACCTGGCTGGGTCTTCCTCAGAGATCAGCTCAGCAGGACGCTGCGCTTTCTTCTGTTGATGTTTGATCATTTCTTCGTTTTCAGTCTCAGAACATAAACTGAGTTTCTTATGGTTCGTTTTAGCAGAAAGTCGTTTGGTTCTGACAGAGCCGGACTCGGTTAAACCCGCTGGGTTTCCACCAAACACTTAGTTTGGAAAATGTTTCCTGTTAGCAGATTTAAATTTACTGTCAAAAATTAACAGCAATAATTAGTTATTTACAATGACTTTACACTGTCAGTTTCAAATCAAACATGTAATTAACAAGCTAAATATTTAGTTTGAAAACTGACTGTTATGAATGAATGAATGAACATGGTGAAAACATGAACCTCAGTTTTTCTCTTATAGATTAACTAAATAACTCAAATTGTTGCTGATCATTTCTCACTGTAACTTTGCAAACGGCTCCACAAACTAAATCAAAATCTCTCCTCATAGATCTAGATCTAGAATGGTGAATCAGTCCTTATTGATGGATCTTTCCAGTGGATCTTCAGCTTTTCGTCAGCAGATCTGGTTCTGACTTTATGACTTATGATGTGTGAATATGACAGCAATCTGCATATTTATGAGCAGGCCTGCAGGGAAACCTTAACCTCACATGGCCACGCTGCGCTCTGCTTGCTTATGCATGAAGACACAAACATTCATTCATTTATTCACATGTTTATTCATGATGCTTTTAATTTGGAGAGAGAGAGGTGGATAACAGAAACGTGTCTGACTTTGTTTTAGGGCCTCATCCAACTCTTAGCCTTACTGTGGTGTGAAGGCGCAGCGAGAAGGCAGCTTCCTGTTTTTATTGCTTTAGTTGCTCCGGCCTGACAGAATAATCTGACTGTAACTCAGGAAAACCATCAGGAACAGATTAATAATCCGCCTCTCCGATTCAACTGGGACAACGTTCATGAATTCACCAATCTGCTCACTCAGCATTAATGTCCTGTTTATCAGTCTGGAGCACTGATGGTGTAGAGCAGGTTCTCCCCATTTCCCCCGTTCCCTCTGTTCCACCCGTTCCCCTTGTTCCCTCCATTCCCTCTGTTCCCCCATTCCCTCTGTTCCACCTGTACCCCTGTTCCCTCCATTCCTTCTGTTTCCCCCGTTCCCTCTG